CGTCTCCCGGAACTGCTTTTTCGTCGATCGTCGTCTCAGGTGGGACGCCAGACCCGACCGTGTGCTTGGTTGCCGGCTTGTCGTTGCTGACACGCATATTTAGTTTCCCTCCTCTTCTTCCTCCTATTCCTCCTCTCGGACTGCGCAGTCGCTTTCGTGGGCATTCTAGATATACATCATAATTTTTGGAAGCTCATCGTTGGTTTTCGCATCTTTCCCTGTCCTTTGCGCTTGTGTCGCCTGCTTCGTGGCGCGTGGCCGTTCTGGGTCATAGTGTGGATTCTCTCTGCGCATATCGTGCAGTGTTGGGTTTCTTGACGTGCTTTTAGATAAGCGAACAAATAGTCAGCGTGTGCTAGGGGATGCTACTCGTGCAAAGGGTTTTTTATTTTTATTTTTATTGTATCGGCTTTAAAAAAATTGTTACGTTTTCCGAATCACCGTCCAATTTGCGGAGCTGAGCGTCCTTCACGAGCCGTCTTTCCTTTCGTATCGTCAATCTCATCTGAAGTTATTTCGGAGGAGCGGGATTTATGTGTGCGCACCCGTCTTGGCAAGAGTAGATGATGGATGTCAGTGGAAAGCAGAGAATGGCAGTTTGAAAAGCTGAGCGGCAGATTTTGATGTTTCACAGGTGAATGAAACTCTCGTGTAGAGTAGCACGCGACAGTTCGCAGGAAAGACAGGGAATCCTTTGAGTTGGCAAAGTATGTTGTTCTTGTGAACTCGGAACCTTCGATTTGCACCTGGGTTTACCAAAATCCCTAGAGGAGATTACCTCCTTAGAATCTGGCATCGATTCGAAGGATCCGATTTTGTATTCCGTTGAATCATTTTAATTTAGGGTGTATTCTCAAGGTCACGGTTTCGAACTGAAAGGCGATCTCTACAGTTATTTCAGCGGTTGCTTCTGCATCCTGAAGATACAGGATGATTCTTTGCATACGGTAGTGAATGGCAAGTGGAGGGGCCATGGATTTAAGAGAGTGGAAGCTTGCGAGGCAAGAAGCGGCGCTGAAGGAGAAGGAGACGGAGGCAAAGAAAGTGGCATGGACCAACTTCCCCAAGGACCTGATGCTGGGAGCGTTAATGGGTGGGGTGGCGCATACTATTGTGGCGCCGGTGGAGAGGGCCAAACTGCTCCTGCAAACCCAGGACAGCAATATGGTTGTCATCGATGGCAAGCACACGCGCTACAAAGGACTATTAGATTGTATCATGAGGATCGCTAAAAATGAGGGCGTCCTCTCTTTGTGGCGCGGCAACGTCAGCAGCGTTCTTCGTTACTATCCTTCTCTTGCCATCAATTTTGCCTTCAAGGTTTAATGTCCTCACCTTTTCGTTATTGTTTCCCTTCTGGAACCGTGATGTTTCATGCAAGTTTTACGACACCTTTTCTTGGGTCTAAATCCATGAACGTGTGTGCGTGCAGGATTTTTATCGAGTGCTATTGACTTCTGGTCGAACTGAAGGGAAGGGCACTTTGAGCAATGCCCCGGCCAATTTCCTCGCAGGTGCGCTGGCTGGTTGCACTAGCTTGGTCTTCGTCTACCCACTCGACATTGCTCACACACGTATTGCAGCCGACATCGGCCGTGGAAGTAACCGGCAATTCCAAGGCCTTGGTGATTTTTTGCGAACCATTTACAGCAAAGACGGCATTCGCGGCGTCTACCGTGGATTCCCCGCATCTGTTCATGGTATGGTAGTACACCGGAGTGTTTACTTCGGTGGGTTTGATACCATGAAAGAGTATCTGTCTCAGGACACATATTTATCCTTCTGGAAGCGGTGGTTGATAGCTCAGGGAGTTACTACATCTGCTGGTCTCATCTCCTACCCTCTTGATACCGTGAGACGGCGAATGATGATGCAGGCGGGTCTCGAGAAGAACATGTATAATAACACGTTAGATTGTTGGAAGAAAGTCTACCGTCATGAGGGAGTTATGGCCTTTTACAAGGGTGCGGTGACAAATTTGGTTCGTGGAACGGGGGCAGCTCTCATCCTCGTTCTCTACGACGAGATCCGAAACTACATGCATTGGACTGGCCCTGCTACTTTAGAACATCGCCGTGAATAGTCAGCTGTGTGCGTTTTTGAATGTCGTTGAGGAGCTTTTCTGATAATCTCAATTGCCAAGATATAGAGCACTTCAACATCAGTGATGTGTGGTTTGAGCCAAAACATATCACAGTATTTTTCGGGAAGGCGACGAAGCGTTGCATCGAGACATGCCAGGTAAATCTTTGGTGTTTGTGTATGATGCTGTTCAAAATTCTGGAATGGAACTCGGTCATCGGAAACTTTCTCTTGCCATTCTAATAGGGGTTGAAGGTATATTGGCTTCATGGGCGGAGAGCTAACTCTGGATTAGAGTAATTAGGTCCAATTCTTTTTAAGCGTAGTGGTATGTAGCTTTTTATGTTGTGACAAATCATTTTGTTCAAGGTATACCTTCTGGGTTATATACTAAAGGCTTGTACCCTAATCTCCAATCATCAAGATGATTTCACTTTTAGAATATAAAAGCTGTCAGAAAGGGTCTATTACCTACTGGCATTGTATACTGCGTTTGCAGCATGTGAGTTGGATTCATAGGTTATTCAGTTTGTTGAAGTCGATATTCTTTTCCTTTTGAATGCAGACCATTGTGCATAATTGTTGATCGTTGGTACATACATACATTCCTTTTCGCATAATGTCCCTCCTTTCAAAACAGTCTAAAACCTAGACATGTCCTTTATTTTATTCAATTGCCGCCCTTTTTCCCTTTGAGAGAGAGAGAGAGAGAGAGAGAGAGTGTGTGGGTATTGTGGCGTGGCAAGACTGATCGTCTTATTAATACTTCAAAGTTCTGGTAACAGGGTCACTAGCAATTGGATTCTTGACGTGTTGGGACATAGAGTTATCATCTTCTGTGGAAGATATTTCACCAAGTTTCATCACTGTGTTGCTCAGCTCACCAATCTGTCTTTGGTGTTATCAAATTGTTAGGATAGTGTACGGTGCTTGAATCTGATACAGACGTTAATTGAATGTTGTGGAGGTTTTGACATTTGGCATTTGCTGTCTTTGGTCAGTAGTTTATACTTCTGATACACTGATCTCAATAACACACTTTTCACAATTTGGGTGCAGAAGAATGCGTCTTGAGTTCCTAAACAGAATCATTCGAGTGTTATTGATGGTGGACCTGTATTAACTTGCCTGAGGTATACTCTAATGGACAAGATCGGTGAATTGTTTGAATTACCTCATGAAACTCTGGTTGAGCCTGTCTTGGGCGCTAGTTCCGCAAGTTCAGAGGTCATTGTATTCTCAATTCTTAGCAGTGTAATTCTGGTTAGTCACGTATTACTAATTTTTTGTTCCCAACAACAAATCATTAGGATGGCATGATTCACGGGTTGCACGTCCGTTGAAGATCTCTAAACGTCTATCTTAATTTTCAGGCATTATTTCATCCATCACTTGTATGTGGTGTTTTGGCTGAAGATAGTTTAGATAACTTCCTGCATGTTTTTGTTTTAAGCTTCAGATTCAACATGACTATATAATGCTCCACATAGAGCAGTGTTCACTGGTGTCTGGCACTGTAGTTCTAAGCGTTTTTGAGCAATGAATCCAATGTCCGGGCTTTGCAGATATTGAAGTTGTTTTAACGTCTTGTTGAATCCAGTCAATGTAGGTGTCCAGGGAAGCTTTGCGAATACCCCTTGATGAGGAGAGCATGTGAATACGAACGAAATTGCTATGTTTCTAAAGCTCTTGAGGCGCTATTTGCCTTTTATGTTTTCTGCCAAAGGGACATGATTGGCTGGGACGATTATAGTAGGCTGGATTTGGTTTGAAAGCATCCTCAATGTTTGAACATTCCTAGTTTCAAGTTGGGGAGGAAAATTTCTAAGGACACCTCATGAGGAAGGGCACGTTAATTGGAACTTGGAAGCAGAGTATCTTTGAAGACGATCGGAGGGTGAAATGTAACATAACTTTCAGAACACTCTTTGTGGGTGACTGAAATGTACCCTTACTTGAGTTCTTCACCAAGTTGCGGAGGACTCTTTTGAAATATCCGGAGGCATTGTGAACTGATTTAACAGGCAGGTTTACCTATTACAACTTTTTACTGCAAAACATGAAGATATGAAGGCTTGATAACGAAATTATCCAGGTAGCCCTCAGCCTTCGTTGGGCAGGTTGAATGTGAATTAAAAAAACTGGTTGTCAGTAGTTAGTACTTATTATGAGGCATTTTGATTAACATCACCATACCCAGCACATCGAGAGTACATCGCGCACTTGTAAATCTTCTCATTATTTAATAAACTGATGATTTCTTTTCCCAATTCTCCTTCCTATGCATGGTTTCGTGGTATTATTTCATTGTGTAGTAGGTCTCACTGAACAATTTGTTGTGGCATTACTGTGTTCAAGGTTTCCGGATTTATGTAATGAATGCATCCAAAGATGGATCTCTCTGCGCATATCGTGCAGTGTTGGGTTTCTTGATGTGCTTTTAGATAAGCGAACAAATAGTCAGCGTGTGCTAGGGGATGCTACTCGTGCAAAGGGTTTTTTATTTTTATTTTTATTGTATCGGCTTTAAAAAAATTGTTACGTTTTCCGAATCACCGTCCAATTTGCGGAGCTGAGCGTCCTTCACGAGCCGTCTTTCCTTTCGTATCGTCAATCTCATCTGAAGTTATTTCGGAGGAGCGGGATTTATGTGTGCGCACCCGTCTTGGCAAGAGTAGATGATGGATGTCAGTGGAAAGCAGAGAATGGCAGTTTGAAAAGCTGAGCGGCAGATTTTGATGTTTCACAGGTGAATGAAACTCTCGTGTAGAGTAGCACGCGACAGTTCGCAGGAAAGACAGGGAATCCTTTGAGTTGGCAAAGTATGTTGTTCTTGTGAACTCGGAACCTTCGATTTGCACCTGGGTTTACCAAAATCCCTAGAGGAGATTACCTCCTTAGAATCTGGCATCGATTCGAAGGATCCGATTTTGTATTCCGTTGAATCATTTTAATTTAGGGTGTATTCTCAAGGTCACGGTTTCGAACTGAAAGGCGATCTCTACAGTTATTTCAGCGGTTGCTTCTGCATCCTGAAGATACAGGATGATTCTTTGCATACGGTAGTGAATGGCAAGTGGAGGGGCCGTGGATTTAAGAGAGTGGAAGCTTGCGAGGCAAGAAGCGGCGCTGAAGGAGAAGGAGACGGAGGCAAAGAAAGTGGCATGGACCAACTTCCCCAAGGACCTGATGATTTAAGGATTTGTGGAACCAAAACCCGCTACATGTGTTCTGAACAGAGTGCTCATTGACCTCTGGATTGCAACAATGCAATAACCATTGTGGATCCACCTCTCCCAAGAAAATACAGTTGCTCATAAATCCGATTGCAGCCAACTGGGTAAGGATGGGTGGAGCGGTGCAGCTTCAAACGAGGTAGCACAGAATTTCACTCACAACATCACTTGGTTAGTGACCAGGGCGTCAAAGTACATCATCGTCCCAGGAAAGATGTGACCAAGAGTTAAGACAACATCAGAGTTAATTCATCCTTTCATCAATTCAATCCTAGCAGGGGCTCTACTAACTTCGAAGCAGAGGGGGCTTGAACGTTTCCAGTAACTCCACCTCCCATTTCCTCCCTGAAACCAGCAGAACTCAACCTCCCTACAAAACCATCTCCCTGTCTTTCACAATGACCAATCCGATGCCCTAAGGTCTTAAAGTAAGACACAGTACTTCCCTTCCGCCCATCATGGACTACGACTGACCGCCAATCCGCACTATCGATTTTCAACGCCTCGCAAGCTAATCCACAATACCTGAAAAACGTGGTCGATATCAGGCAGAAGGTGTAATGATCCAGAATTACTGACGCAGACCCAAAAATTCAACATCCTTACTTCAATTCCCTTCACAAGCTAAAGGACTGAGAACTAAGACGACGAGCTGATCGTCTCACAAACCGAAAACTCGTTCTATTTGCCTACTCTCACAAATTAACAACGTCAGCATGTAGAATCACCATACAAGTGCGTCGGCGGGGAGAAATCGGCCGCGGCAGTCGCAAACAAATCAATCCGAGAAATGCTTGAGAGATTGCAGAGAATGCGAAGAAAAGGAACTGCGGAAAGTTCCCGCCACGTTGTGGCGCCAATTTTCGAATACTCATTACTCCCGCCACCACAGGCCTCCCAACCAACGGTCGGATCCTGATGCTTTCTGCCGACCTCCGGTAGCCCACCCGCCTTATCTGCGACTCTCCATTCTTAAACCCTTTCTCGGCCCTCTCCGATGTTGTAACGGCTGCTTGGTATACACTCCCTCGTGCGCTGCTAATCTCGAGTTCGTTCAGTCCAGGGAGCTGCGGTTGAGAGCTGCGATTGCCATTGTAGTTTTGGGTTCATCGAGCTTAATTGCACTGCCTGAAGAGCGACGTCTAACATAGGGGCTGAGTGAGTCCTCCAGGTTTGAAAGGTTCAAACTCTGTGACCCGCATGTGTATCTTCTGAGAAGTCGGCGGCAGGGTGTTTCGCCGTCATCAGGTATGGAGCATTGCGTTAAGCGCTGGATTAGTCGGTGTCCTTGTTAAGTATGTTAATGGGTGGGATGAAGTGTGTGGCGCTTCTCGTAATTAGGGTTTATCTGTCGGCTGATAATTGGAATGTGACCACCTGACATGAAAGATATCTTTGGACTGAGCCCCTGCCTCTTCCTGGACGGCGTGACGTCCCGTCCTGATTTGGCCGCCGTGTTTTTACCTTCAATGATTGCTCTGGTGAATCAGGGGCTGCGCACTTCTTTATGTGATTCGTTCTAGATTTGTGTGCGAACGATCTCCTGCCTTAAATTAAGTTTGTACTGTCCTTGGTTTCGTACATCTTGCCGCAGGTGGGCGAGAGTTTGGCGAAGTCGCGATTGAAATAGTTTGGTCTCCCGCTCTTTTGTTCGCTGGAAAAGAAGTTTCTGGTAGCGTGACATTCCTTTGCTCCTTGACGTAACTGCAATTCAAATATGCCTTGCTCGGATTGTAGATAATGGATCCTACGTTTCTTATGAACGAATGCATTGTCGGCAGGCTTTAGTGTGTTCTCGAAACCTTACTGTGTGGTTGCTGTGGCATGCTCGTTAGACTCATATTGCCCTCTGTTCACTTTTCAGT